TAGCCTCTCTGTACTGTCAACTGTGTTTTTTGTTCAATATAAAATAAAAAAAAAAAAAAAACAATAACCTTGATGATTACCAGGGGCAGAAAAGTGCCACTTTCCATCAGCACCGGGAGCACTCTCCTTGGTGCTGAACCCTGTTGATGAGCGCTCAAGTGTTGGCGGAGGAGGTGTAAGCCAGAGGAGGGTGAACAAAAGTTAAAGTGTTTGAACCTCCAGCCCAGAAGGGGGGGTGATGCCGTGAAGAAAGCCGAATATGGATGCTGATGGGCGGACACAGAAGCACCATAAAACCACCCCCTTGTAAGGTCACCAGGGGGCACGAGAATACCCTCCAGCCCAGAAGGGGGGGGTGATGCCGTGAAGAAGGCCGAATATGGATGCTGATGGGCGGACACAGAAGCACCATAAAACCACCCCCTTGTAAGGTCACCAGGGGCACGAGGTTCTGGTGGGTGTGAATACCTGTGTTTAGTCCGTGGGGGAGTGCTTAACTGTGGGGGCCCGGGGACTCAGGGTGTGCAAGGTTATGGAGGTCCCACTGTTAGGGGCCCATGCTTGGAGGTAATTAGTCCGTCTTTGGGGCTCTGTGAGCGGGCAAAAAGAGGTGATTTCCCCCTGGTCTCTGCTGGAGGTGCAGAGTCCCACTGTTAGGGGCCCATGCTGGAGGTAATTAGTCCGTCCTTCGGGGCTCTGTGAGCGGGCAATGAGAGGTGATTTTCCGGTCTCCGCCCTGGAGGTGTGAAATAAACAGAGTCCCCCTGTTAGGGACTGGTGCTGGAGGTCTCTAGTCCGTCCTTCGGTGCTCTTGTGAGCGGGCAAAAAGAGGTGATTTCCCCCTGGTCTCTGCTGGAGGTGCAGAGTCCCACTGTTAGGGGCCCATGCTGGAGGTAATTAGTCCGTCCTTGGGGCTCTGTGAGCGGGCAGAGAGAGGTGATTTCCCCCTGGTCTCTGCTGGAGCTGTGAAAGAAACAGAGTCCCACTGTTATGGGGACATGCTGGAGGTAATTAGTCCGTCCTTGGGGCTCTGTGAGGGGGCAGAGAGAGGTGATTTTCCCCTGGTCTCTGCTGGAGCTGTGAAAGAAACAGAGTCCCACTGTTATGGGGACATGCTGGAGGTAATTAGTCCGTCCTTGGGGCTCTGTGAGGGGGGCAGAGAGAGGTGATTTCCCCCTGGTCTCTGCTGGAGGTGCAGAGTCCCACTGTTAGGGGCCCATGCTGGAGGTAATTAGTCCGTCCTTGGGGCTCTGTGAGCGGGCAGAGAGAGGTGATTTTCCCGGTCTCCGCCCTGGAGGTGTGAAATAAACAGAGTCCCCCTGTTAGGGACTGGTGCTGGAGGTCTCTAGTCCGTCCTTCGGTGCTCTGTGAGCGGGCAAAAAGAGGTGATTTCCCCCTGGTCTCTGCTGGAGGTGCAGAGTCCCACTGTTAGGGGCCCATGCTGGAGGTAATTAGTCCGTCCTTGGGGCTCTGTGAGGGGGCAGAGAGAGGTGATTTTCCCCTGGTCTCTGCTGGAGCTGTGAAAGAAACAGAGTCCCACTGTTATGGGGACATGCTGGAGGTAATTAGTCCGTCCTTGGGGCTCTGTGAGGGGGCAGAGAGAGGTGATTTCCCCCTGGTCTCTGCTGGAGGGTGCAGAGTCCCACTGTTAGGGGCCCATGCTGGAGGTAATTAGTCCGTCCTTGGGGCTCTGTGAGGGGGCAGAGAGAGGTGATTTTCCCCTGGTCTCTGCTGGAGCTGTGAAAGAAACAGAGTCCCACTGTTATGGGGACATGCTGGAGGTAATTAGTCCGTCCTTGGGGCTCTGTGAGGGGGCAGAGAGAGGTGATTTCCCCCTGGTCTCTCCTGGAGGTGTGAAATAAACAGAGTGCTACATTTTGTAAATAGTGCAATATCTCCAGGGCGCATAACTGCACTTTACAAGCCAGAAATAATGTTTAAATGGTCGGGGAAAGTATTTTTAAATGTCTGGAAGAGAGTTTTAGACAGTCATTTTGCACGAAATCATTTAACATAGACGCTCTCCTGAAAATGCACAGAATATGTGCTTTTTCAGGAGACCGTCAATGTTAAATGATTTCGTGCAAAATGACTGGCTAAAACCTCGGAATAAGTGTTTGAAAAGCGGGGAAAAGTTGTTTAAAATAGTCTGATACCTCCAGGGCGCATCACCAAAATGTACAAGCCAGGGAAGATGCCTGAATCCCGGATACTTTAGGTCTGTCACTTAGGGTGACCGCACCACTCCGACGCTCCCGAGAGTGGACGTCCATTGTTTGTAAGGCACCTAAGAGGGATAATGTATGT